ATTTTTGGAAAGTTAGTTTGAAGGGAATTTGAAATTATTGTGTTTGACGTAGACATCAAATTGTCCGGTAACGTAAGCTGGATTAGATTCATACTTTGTAGCTAGTGCATGTAGTGGAGACCAATATTACTTTATTAAATTGTTGGAGGTCAAAGGTCGGTCATCTGATTTTGCTGCATGTCTGGGTTGACATGAATGTTTTGTTGGGTAAATTACATTGCATAATTACTAAATCTTAAAAATTCAACATGAAACATTTAATTGAATAATTGTTATTTCCACGAAAAAATGTTAAAATTAAGATAAATAGATACAATTCTTTTTTATTATGAATTCCGGTTTGCTACAGGAAATATTGACATAGAATAGTATAAGGTTACCTTGTTGTCTTCTAGTTGTACTGGCTGTGTGCTAGATGATCATTTCTGTTGCGTCAGCTGGGGAGAGTCTTAGTTATCTGTTTTTGGTTTTTATATATGATTGCATGTATGTTTAATAATCTGAAAGAGTTGCCCAAAGTGTTGCACAGTGATTAATCTTTAGATGGATGAATAATTAATAAATATGAAATTTGTCAAGCTGCTTTTCATCCAGTTGATCAGTGTTGTTTGCATTCCACACAATGTGTATGATAGGACTGACTCTCTGTGTGACTCTGCAATAAAAAATGCATAATACATGTATGAGACTTTATTTCATCGATTAATGTATGCATAAAATGTGATACTTCACAAATGAATTCCATAGGGATGAATGGTACAGCATCTTCCTTGTAATATTACAAATGATATTGCCTTAATATAGTTCATCACAGATTTTGTTTTTCTTCTTGTGTTAATGTGCGATTGAACTCTGATAGATAAAGTACAGTTGGCCCCTCCACTTCAAATCATTTTACTGTCCTTCTTTTAATAATCCTAATCCAATTAACAGTTTTGTCAAGTGTCTGTAGATTTAACACTAGATTTGGTTTTTTCAATTATGTTTGGTATTTGCCTTTTTGCTTCAATGCACATGACCTTGTTTGACCTTAGAATCTTCATATCATAGTATTTATAAAGTTAGCAGTCAATTGACTGATTTTAGTCTATTATATATACAATGTCATAAAATGTCTTAATAATATTTTAAATTAAATTTTAAAGTTCATTTCTCAACAGACAAAATATAAATTGTAATTATAATATTGATTTGTATTGATACCAGTTATATATTTATAATGTATAATGTCTTTCTCATGCTGCCCTTGTAAAATTTTATTTTTATCTACTTCCAAATGTTTATTATATTGAAAATGTTTTTCATTCAATGAAATATTCTAATCTTACAAGTAATCTGCCTGATGTAAATCTAATCCCATTACTATATTTATATGTTGCTGTCATTATTAATTACAGACAATTTTTTGATTACTGTGAAAAATGAACTGTAAAAAGTCTTGCTAAAAATCTGACAAATTGTACAGACTTGTGTCACTCAGTTCATGTTTTGAATATACGTGATGAAACTGTGCTTTTGTTGTTTTATTTCCTCAACAACAACAACAGCTGGTCTGATTATTCTGAAAACTAGGTCACTGCCTTTTTGCCTGGCAGTGTAGCAGAGTATTAGTTCATTATTGTATGGAAAGTTGTACTCAGTCTGATTTCATGGCATAAAAGACTAGTGTATGCATTGTAGAAATTAAATTAAATAAACATGTCTAAACTGAACATTGCATGTCTAAACCAAAACTATTTTCAACATTATACATGTACTATAACCATACATTCTGTACACCGTCCATTATCTGTATTGAACATTTGCATGCTCTTTCCTTGGTGTGTGATGTAGACATCTCTATATGATTTGATTACATATAAATTATTAACTTTTTAATAATTTTTTTTTTATATAAAATACATTTTTATTCGCTGGTTTGAAAATTTAGTTTGCTGGTCTTTTGAAGCTTGTGGCAGTGTATTGCATCAATTTCAAATGTTGCATTTTTTTTTTGATTGTTAATGTATGTAATTAAGTGTAAACTTTGTACAGAGCATAATTATTTACAAATATCATAGCCCAAATATCTTATTATTTCTATTCTATACTATGCCCTTTAGAGTCCTGCAGATGTTTTACTGATGTATTGCATTTATATTGAATGATGCTGAATATCCTGTCTGAGTTTTAAATTGAAAAATAAATTAATGTCTAGAGAACACGTACAGAAGTGAACTGTGCGGATTGCAATGTATGTGCTGTCCTGAAAGCAATTATGCGGAGTTAATAAATGCATTGGCCGGAAATGCATATGTAATGTTGTTAATGGATCTTGTTTGATTGGGATTCTTGTGCATTTTACTATAATTGAAGGGTGATGGTGGTGGTTGTCGTCGTCGTCGTTTGAATTTCATGTAAAATAATGTATTTGAAGCATTTTTGTATAGTCTATTGAACGCAGATTGAACATAATGTGGCACAACAACAGTCGCTCTTTAACGAAGGTTAGTCAGGAAAATAAAGTACACATTTGAATATTTCTCAAAAAATGGTTATATTGTACCAGCTTTTATTTGAAACTAGAGATTTTGCTAATTATATAATTGATTCTCTTGTAGTGAGTTTTAGTAAAATCTTGATTCATGTGCATTGTTGGAAATTCAGTATATAGCAATGGGGTTAATGTTCTTTTTACTAGCATACTGTGGTGTGGTATATTCTAAATAAACAACAATGAACTGTATATCTCTCTAAATAGATTGTCTGGTATAACGGCCATGAGAATACCTATTGTATTCTGGTCACCCTAGTGATTACAATGGCCTCAAAGCTATTGTTAAAGTAATGTTGTACCAATACTTTTGAGATTTTAGAAGTATTTTTTTTCAATGTACTAGTTGATAGCCTCTATAAAGAATGAATGCATGTATTGAGAACACACAGGTGATTCACAGTTATTTTACACTTCAAATTGAGTGGAATTGCTCCGGTAAATTACATGTAAGGTTAGTTGCTGACAAACAGCCTTAATAGCATCGTTTTTTCATCAAAACAGTGAATAAAAACACAGCTAAATTACCAGCAGCCTTTTTGAAATATTGTCCCTATCAATGCAATTACATAGATCATGAAAGTGGAAACTTATATTCCCCACAGTGACACTACAAACCCATTTCTTCACGTTATTATTATAAAGTGATGAGAATGTTTTTTTGTTTTGTGTACCAGGTAATTTTAAAATTATTAAACTGAATTAAATCTTTTGACAGCGAGGGTTTGCACTGATTGCTGCTGATTGTCTCTCATTCTCTGAATATATTCCTTAATATATTCCTTCTCATGGACTTTACATGTTGGATCCCACATGTAAACTTTGCACTTTACCAACAAATATTTGTTGTTAGTCATGCATACCACACTGTTGGCTGTTTTTAGATTTCTGACAAGTCTATTAAACAGTCAGGAATGTTTTTTCAGTTTTGTTAAGTCACTGCCTTGAGAGTTAGTATTTTCATTTTTGCTCTTTTATTTAATTCTTGTTTTTACTTGGATGATTATCTTGAATATTCATCTACAGCTGGCTGTGTCCATATTACTGCAATATATTGAGAACTTTTTACTCGTTTTTATAAGATTTAACTGGTAAATATACTGTAGTATCAAAACCAGTGCCATGTACACAATATGGTTGTAAAATACAGTGATCTTTGGGGCGTGGCTGGCTAAAAAGCTATATTGGAAGTAGATTATAACGTTGCTATAGAAATATGACACGCTTCCGGCATTCACTGAAGAATTGTAATTAGCATACTGACCACCACCCGTTCATTCTGCATTTGAGTGAAAAGCATTCAAAGGAAGTCTGGGTGTGTGTTTTTTTTTCAGGGGAAAGGGTGTAAAAGTTGTAGCTGGTACATGTATATTTTATGTAGCCAGTAATTACTGCTTGATGATATTCAAACTAAATTCTATCATTTAGCAATATACATGTGCCAATTATGGTACTGGGTTTTAATTTTGCTTTTTTCCCAGATGAGTTAAATCTGGTATGAGTAAATTAAATCTAATTGAAAATATAAAAAAACAGTCAAACTCATTATTTCCATGGCAAATTTGTGAATATAAAAACCTAGGAAATATGCACAAAACATTTAAGGGCAGTGGTTGTTGCGCTGCGTCCTGTTCGATATGGGACTCATAGCAACGTATACAACACGTGTAAAATACATTGTTTATTTACATGAAATTTCGAACACATACTATGTGACGACCATCGTCCTTCAAAATAGTGAAATTAAACACTAGCGAAAATAAATACAGAACTTTGCCTTGTTGATGAAGTTGAATTCACAAAGATATGAATTGTTGCCATAGAAACAATACTATTTTATCAAAAATGGCAGTTATTATCTTGTCATAACAGTCATTCATTGCAGAAGCATTTATTATATGCTATAATTATAATGTTTTGAATATAATTCTCCTGGCTGACCTTAATACTAAATATAACTACGTAATAGATGGGCGTCAAATAAGATCACATATGTTGAGTGTTAAATTTAAAGTTGTCTGTTTTAAGTGAATATCGTACACAATTTCAGATGCAAATTATGATGTGAGATAGGTTAATCTCATTTATTTGTAAGTTGTATATGTTGTCATGGTGATGAGCAACATTTATTAAAAAGAAATAACTGAAAAATAATGTAAACAAAATTTATTAAGAAATTTTTCTGATACATATATGAAAATTAATGTCAGGTATATTATTCCCAATTATTTGTAATATGTATATGTTACCATGGTAATGAACAACATTTCTAAAAAAATAAATTATGTAAACAAATAGCATTTTTAAAAAAAAAGTTTCTGATATAAAAATGATATGTCCCTTATTGTTCTGCTGTCTGTTATGTTATTTTTCATTCAATTGATTGTGTTTTGCTGTGTTTGCCCTGCCCATCTGCTGTTTGCCTGATGTCAGCTGCTGACTAAGGTTTGATATTGTTTTGTTGCAGTCATAATGAAAGGAAGACAACATTTAACCATCCATCCACTGGTCAACCTGAATTAACCGATGATTTACATTACCTTGTAGAAAGGTAGGTATCTTTTGTTAACATTGTAAGAGTACATTTTGAATGCCATCAATTTTTATGTACATTTCTATTATTTCTATTTTTATAACTTTGGACCAAATGGATTTTCTACTTCTTGATCAGCGTAGACAAAATTCTGTAGATTAATTTTTAATGGCAGTGAGATGATAAAAGTGGATATTGGTGTTCAAAAGGTTAAAGGTCAAAAGTTAAAGGGACACCATTATCACAACATGTGTATGGTGCAGTGTATTATGGCTGATGTGGTCATACCTATTACATCATTGTTATTATAAAATATACTTTCATTGTACATTATTTATATTCATCTGTAAATACACTCAGCAACCAGCTACACACGTTGAATAAAATTTGCCCCACATGTGTACGTGGATATAAGTACAATGTATGTACATGTACCTCTTCTTTTAGTAATGAACCTGTAACAAAAGCTATGATACTAATGGTAATGTACATTTTACATGTTACTTTTTAAATACATAATGTACAGCATATATTGATGATACATGTATTTTTATACTTCTTAAATTATACATATTTTACTATTTACATATTTTTAATTTTAGTAGTGAAAGATCTCTGAAAATTGTTAATTCAATATGCTGGTACATGTATCAAATAAAAACTTATTTTTCAATTGTAAGTTTCCTTCTCTATGACCATGTACATATATATGTAGGCTAATTTATTTGACCTTTCCTTGACCTGTTGTGGTCACAGTGTCAAAGTTCACCACAGAAATAGCTACATGTATCAAATTTGTCTGTGAATTCTTATACACATATTCACACATGAGAATCATTGATGACATAAATAAACTGACATGCGAGTGCCTTTCAGTTTCATTCGTTTAATATTTCGCGCTGTGGCGGCTGATCTCGTTCCTGACTTTACCATCACAAATAATACAGTATATATTTCTTCTTCTGAGTCTACAACAATTCCACCATTGTGTCCGGCAAATTAAGTTATACCACTAGGTAGTACTGATGGAAATAACGACAGCATATTTCTATTTTTAAAAGAAAGCTCTGTTTGTTGTTGTCACATGTTTTCTGTATGACGCTGATTGCTATTTTTGTTCTCTTCAGATGAGAGATTAGGCTCTATTCAGTTAAATATAACGTTGCTTTGAAAGCATGCTTTGTTGCGGTAGAATCTCACTTCGTCTGCATACCTGAATCCGTGCTTGAACAAATAGCTTTTTTTTTTTTTTCGGAAGCTAGGAGATTTAATAAAAGAGGTTGTGAAGGCGAATCCCTGAATTACAATGTGTTATAAGTAAATAAATATACCATTTAAAACCTCAGTGCATGTTATACCACGTTATATGTAAGAGTTATTTTGACATTTTTTCACGTGCCTGTTGAAATAGCTATAATCTCTTAACAGTGTGTTACTTTACCCACAATTCTATTGGATTTGTAATCTTGCATATTAAACTTATAAACTAATATAAGAACGTTATTTTTCACTGGTGATTAATTTAATTATTTTAATATTTAGGGAATAAATGATGGGTTCTATTTTATGTTATAAATCACTACTATCAGAATTTACATAATGTAAACTCTACTCGCCAGTAAATTCATTTTAACAAAAAGCCCCAAAACTAAATTTGTTTATTCTGATGCCGGTGATTTATAAGAGAAGGGTGAAGGCATGATAATGTGTTTGTTTGGCTTTACCTCGCACATTATCTTTGCCATAGACTCTTCTCCTCATGCAATATGGCACTATGGGGGATTCATTGTTGTTTAAAATAATGGGACAAGCAAAGATGGGCACAATAAATATGCATATATTAGAAATTCACATAAACATGTAAAGATAATGTATTTATTTTATGCTGGATTATTGAAATATGATTCATTTTGATCATGAGTATAGACTTTTCAAGTACAAGATAAAGCTAAACTTAAGTACAAGGGCTCTTCTGGGATATAAAGGCTGACAGACCAAGATGTTTTATTGTGGAAGGACTTTATATCTTGAAGAGGCTTTTCTGACTTAAAAACCCCAAACCATCTATAGATGTACAGTTTTGTGAAATTGTTGTACTTTTGAAGTCATTTTGTATTTCCTGTCATCAATTCTACATGTAATTGTTGTGATGGAAATGGGACCATGCCCCTATTTTTAAGTGCAATATTTTATAAAAAGTGTTCATTACATATTGCATTAGTAAAAGTATGTGTGTTTATTAATGTTAAAGTCATTGTTCTCATAAAATTCATTTATTTATTATATGTAAGATTTGCATAATGATCAATATTCATGATGTAACTAAAAACATCTTATCCTCGAGGGCTGAGCTACATCACCAGACGTTCCACGTTGCTAAGACGCGCACCACTGTACATGCATTTCTATGGGCTCTGTGCGCGCTGCTATGGAACGCCGGTTGAGCCGGTGAAAATTCGAGAAAACAACACAAACTCAACTTTGAAGTAATCCCGAACAACCAAATTTATATATGTTACACACGTAGGGCTAATCTTGTTACACTGTTCAGGGGAGTCTCAACAACCATCCCAAAGTACCATTTTCTGA